CTATCTCAACTAAAAAGAAAATTAAAAAAAGAAATAAAAATAAAACTCAGCAGGTGTGCAATGAAGTCTCCCTGCTGCTACAGAACATCCGGTCCCCAGGTACTAGAGATGCTAAAGCCTTGATTCAGGACTTCATCACTCCCTCCTGGTCATCTGCAAGTGTCTCTTAAATGACAAGCACTTCAGGGGCCATTGCTATGGTCAGATTATTTATGTCTCCTACAAATTCACACGTTGGAATTCCAACGCCAAGTGGTAAGATTAGAAGGAGGAGTTTTGTGGGAGGTGATTAGGTCATGAGGACAGAGCCTTTTGTAAATGGGATTAATGCCCTTATAAACTAGATCTATGGAAAAAAGGTTTTTTTTTTGACAGAGTCTCACTCTGTTGCCCATGGTAGAGTGCCATGGCATCAGCCTAGCTCCCAGCAACCTCAAACTCCTGGGTTCAGGCACTCCTTCTGCCTCAGCCTCCCCAGTAGCTGGGACTACACACAAGATCTCACTCTTGTTCAGGCCAGTCTGGATCCTCCCACACTGGCCTCCTATCATGCCCAGCCCAAGAGAGATCTCTGTCCCTTCCCCCACGTGAGAACATCATAAACCAGAAAAGGGGCCCTCATCAGATACAATCTGCTAGCACCTTAATCTTGAATCTCCCAGCTTCCAAAACTGAGAGAAATAAATTTCTGTTTATAAACTACCTAGTAGCAGGAACTAAGAAAGTCATCTTTCTAAATAGCAGGGCATTGTGGTGGGCACTTGTAGTCCCAGCTACTCGGGAGGCTGAGGCAAGAGAATCTCCTAAACCCAGGAGTTAGAGGTTGCTGCGAGCTGTGATGCCAAAGCCCTCTATGGAGGGCAATAAAGTGAGACTTTGTCTCAAAAAAAAACAAAAAACAAAAAAACCCGAGTCATTTGGGCAGCGCCTATGGCTCAAAGGAGTAGGGTGCTGAACCCATATGCCAGAGGTGGTAGGTTTAAACCCAGCCCCAGTCAAAACCCAGGCGGGGTGGGGGAAGTCATCTTTCTAAATGCAAAGCTAATCATGTTATTTCCTTCCTTGAAACCCTTCAACATAGGCACCCTGCCAGAGGTTAAAGTCCATACTCCTTTTACAGCCCTCAAGACTAGTGATCTAGCTTCCCACCTTTTCTCTCCTTCTGGAATCACTCTGCACAATGCCTGCTATTTACTCAAACTTTCAGCCTGCAATCTGAACCCGGGCCCCATCCATCCCCATGAGCTGCTTCCATGCTTTATGACCACTGCTTTTCTGATTTTCTCCTCCTATGAGGATTTAATGACTTATTACTTATTCTAGAGATTTGTATTGAGCTATTACTACGTGACTGGTCCTGTAATAGATACAACAGTGGCGAAGAACACTATTCCTAGCCTCAAGGAGTACACAGCCTAGCAGGGAAACAGGTATTAAACAAGTAAACTATTCGCAGATGGGGGTGGGGAGGTGGCAGAAAAGAAAAACTTTCCCAGGAAGCAGTGCCATTTGACTTCATCTGCATTTTGCTACAATATCCTTTTCTATTTATTTGTAAAAGAAACTGATTTATAAGTGCCCCCACCCCTTTTGGTATAGCTGAGTTTTAAAAGGCCTTTTTTCTGAAATAACATTTTGCATTTCCTCTTTCTAAAATTCACAATCCCAGCAAAATTCTAACCAGATTTCAAAGTCAGCATTTCTAAGCACTCCAACCTCCACCCCAGCATAGCCACCCCGCAGAGCAGTACCGTCCGCTCATTCAGGGCCCTGAGTACCCTAACCCTTCCTGCCTTGATGGGAGCCGCTCCTGGACAGGGTAAGATTCCCTAAAGACAGGAACAAAAACTTTCCATCTTTTAAACGCCCACCGACACAGTGCAAGTCCAGGGCAAATCCTCAAATGCCTAAAGGGCAACAATTTACTCTTTGAAAGTAAATAAATTGGCACATGGGGCATAAATTTATATAAACTTTTTGAATAATAATTGCACATTACCTATTAAAGCCTTAAAAGACTAGAAGTACTCTAGTTAATGTTCTACAGAAATCCCAGTAGTTGGCATTTAAAAAGTATGGACAAAGGCCTCTTTAACTTTAGATACAGTTGCTAAAAATTAGAAACAAGTGTCAATGGCCATCACAGAGACCTGGGTAAACAAATCATGGTACCCTACTATGGAAGAGCCCTTCACTGCTAGAAAGAGGAAGCAGACCTCTCCACAGCAACACTGAAAGATGTCCAGAAGTTGTAGGATGACAGTAGATGTAAAAGCTTGCCATTTTTTTTTTTTTTAAATATGTTTTCAGAGTGTAGGGGAAAAAACCTCTAAGATAAATCCCTGTACTTCATCTCTGGGAGCACGAGACTAGAAGCAGAAAGGAGAAACCATCTGTTTCTACTTTAAACATCTGCTCGATGAATTTGTTAGAATGAGATGTAATGCTTTTTACATTTTTTTATATGTTTGTGTTTTTTTTTTTAATTGTTGGGATGCTTTTTAAATTTAAACACAAACATCATCATTTTGTTTTGTTTCTTTACTCAGGTAGGCATTATTTTTACCAGTTTCTTATCTTAAAAACTGAGATATCTTTTAATTATTTTCACACTGAAATATTACTCACTGCTATGTTCTCAGCATCTAAATAGAGACACACAGCAGGTGCTTAGTTAATATTTGCTGGACGAATCAATTGCTGTACAATTTTAAAATTAATTGCTCAGGGGGGAAAATATTAACAACTGCTTCACAAATTCACAAAGGAAAAAACACCTCAAAATATATTTTAGCAGTTTGGCTCCCAAACTAAATGAGTTATGTGTCTTTTTTTTAAATTTTGAGACAGAATCTTACTTTGTCACCCTCCATAGAGTGTGATGGCATCACAGCTCACAGTAACTTCAAGGGCACAAGGGATCCTCTTGCCTCAGCTTCCCAAGTAGCATGGCTATTTTATTTATTTATTTATTTTTAGAGATGGGGGGTCTCACACTTGCTCAGGCTTGTCTTGAACTCCTTAGCTCAGGCAATCCACCCGCCTTGGACTCCCAGAGTGCTGAGATTACAGGCATGAGACACCACACCCAGCCTCAAGTAAACTTTAAAGAGCACAGATTCTCTAGTAGAAGAAAAGCAATAATGGGCAAGAGCCTTAATTATGATCTATTTCAAAGTGCTTATTTCTGGTAATTAACATTTAGCTTGGACTACTAAGATAAACTTCATCTTCTCTCCGAAAATCAAGGCCCCTCACAAGTGGCCTTTTTATCTTCTGATGCCCAAAGAAAGCCCCCCCAAACAGTAGCCTATCCATGATTATTGAGGATACTGATGGGAAAGGTGAGATACCAGGAAGAATGAACCAAGGTTTTAGGCTTAGGAGACTTAGATAAAGCAACCAAGAAAAAAAGTCTTGAGTGGACTCAAATTTAAGTTCAGTTTTTTTTTTTTTTAAAGAAGAGACAGAATATTTAAGCAAATGTTAAGGCGATGGAAAAGATTATTTATATAAATAACCACCACCCACATAGCACAACTCCCCTCTCCCTGCAGTCTCCTCCCCCATGGAAAGTACTTTAAGTTAGTACTTATCTCAGGACACTTGGACCCAGCAGTCGACTTAATTCTAAAATCCTATATACTTTCTGGACTTTTTTTTTTTTTTTTTTTTTTGAGACAGAGCCTCAAGCTGTCCCCCTGGGTAGAGTGCCATGGCATTACAGCTCACAGCAACCTCCAACTCCTGGGCTCAAGCGAGTCCCCTGCCTCCGCCTCCCAAGTAGCTGGGACCACAGGCGCCCGCCACAACGCCTGGCTATTTTTTGGTTGCAGCCGTCATTGTTGTTTGGCGGGTCCGGGCTGGGGGTTTGAACCCGCCACCTTAGGTGTACGTGGCTGGCGCCTTAGCCGGTTGAGCTATAGGCGCCGAGCCCTGGACTTCTTTTTTAATCACTGTTTTTAATTCCAAATCTTCCTTTGAGAGCATGGTGTAGTCCTTGCTACGAAAACACAAAGGTCCTATAGACTGTCACCAAATACCAGTAATATTTAGAAGAGGGGGAGATGGATTAAAATACTTCTCTGCCAGATTAAAGCAACTGTTTACCAAGTTAGTTAATTGGCTATAAATTTAAAAAAAAAAAAACCTTTCAGATTGTTGTCCTCAAATGCTCTCCAACCCTAATCCGTTCTTCAACAAGTGGAAATAAATTCTTCCAAGGTCTACCCACCCTCTGACATCTCCCCCACTAGCAATGACTGTCTAGGTCAAAATTTTAAATTCATGAGAAATCAACACCAACAGTTCACTAAATAAACTTGTTACCCAAAAGAGCCCATGCTCTGGTCACTGCCCACCCCTTCGCTCTTAAGAGCAGGGGTCCAGTTTCCCATCTCTGGGCGACCACAGCCCCATCTATGAAACAAGTGCCCAACAAAGACTGATTTTGCAATTTCATGGCACTGCACAACTGGGGAAAAAGAAAAACAAACTTTGGAAAGCATCTAAAATCAACACATCTGTTTACTATGGCTAATAAACAGCTACAAAGGATGATTTTTAAAAAGTAACATGTTTTCTAGCTGAACCAATTGTACAGAACTTGAAAGCTAGCGTGAACCTGCAGCGAAGCTACTTGAGTCTGGACTAAGGGGGCAGCTGCGCTGGCAGCGAATAGAGCCCATCTCCAGCGGGCGGGCGGCGGGGAGAAGGGCGAGCGCGGCGGCCAAGCGCCGGGCTGCCCGCGCTCCTGCCCAGAGGCCGGGAGCAGGAAGGGATGGCACCCGGGGGCCCGGGGGACGCCAGCGGCCGCCGCGCCAGGGAGGGGCGCCTGTTTCCTTGACAACCGCGGCAGGGCACGGCCCTTCCTTGGAGCCGGGGGAGGGGAGAGAGGAGCGAGGAGACCCCGCACCGGAGCGGCAGCGGCCGGGGACACCCCGGGCGCAGCGCCGCAGGCCCGACTCGCGGGGCCCTGTCCCTCCGCGGCCCTCGCCTACCGTGTATCCCCGCTCCAGGTCACTCTCCTCGTAGCGAAAGGACGGGATGTAGACCTCCATGGCC